AAAGCACTGCTCTTGCAGAGGACCTGGGTTCGATTCCCAGGACCCACATGGAGGCTAACAACTATCCTAACTTCAGTTCCAGGGGATCCAACACCCTTTTCTGACCTCTGTGGGCATTGCACAAAATGGGTGCACTGACATACATGCAGGCTTAAAAATATAATCATAAATAAAATATTTAAAATTAAAGTGTCATTCCCTTGTATAGATACATTGATAGAAATCAAAAACAATTGCTACAAATGTATTAAATTTAAAAACAAACAAAACAAAAAACTACAAACACTTCTGCCAGCCCACATGCACCCAGGCCAGAGAGGCCGCAAGAACATGACCCCCTGTCCCTGCCCCTTATTCCCACTGCCCTGTACGCACCCCATATGGAAGGATTAGAAGACTAGGGATATCTGCTTCCAGTACACCCTTCCGATGCCCCACATGAACCCCAGTTAGAGTACTTAGAGAACCTGAAATCCCTCATCCCTAGTACACACATCCCCCAATCTGTACACACCGTGGCTGGTGAAGCACCATCACCCCAGACTCTGGTATACCTCCCACTGCAGTATACACACACACACACACACACACACACACACACACACACACACACAGACACACACACACACACACACCACTGTCTGGAGAGGTTAGAGAACTCTCACACACACACACACACACACACACACACCACTGTCTGGAGAGGTTAGAGAACTTAGGGACCCAACCACCACCACTGGCACAAGTCTCACAAGGCTGTGTGCACCCCCTGTCTGGAGAGGTTAGAGAACTTGGGGACCCAACCACCACCACTGGCACAAGTCTCACAAGGCTGTGTGCACCCCAGTTGGTGAAGTCAGAGGTCTACACTCCCCTACTCCCCCTAACAAACTCCTGTTGGAGATCTTAGAGTACTAGGGGCCCCTGCCTCCAGTGGATGCTTTCACAGGCCTGTGTACAGCATGTGTTGAAGTCAGAGACATACACTCTCCCATCCCCACACCACAGTCCTACACACGCATTGGGTGAGAGGGTAAGGTACCCCGAGTTCTGCTTCTACACATACTTCATCTCCCTGCACATGCCTTGGATGGTAAAGACAGAAGCACAGCTCCTCACTGTTTGCATATACTCCTGACACTCCATGCACGTGCCTGCACTTGAAGCCACAGGAGTGAACACCCTCTCTTACACTATTCTCCCCATCTCTAGTTCACATACTCCCTGTCCCACAAACAGGTTAAATGACATGGGACCACCTTGCCCACATCACATACTCGCAACACCTCATATACCCCAAGCCTGGAGGAGCCAGAAGATGCATGCTTTGTTCATCCCTGATGCATACCTCCAACACTTTGTACCCCAGAATGGGAAGTTAGAAAACAGACCCCACACACCTGGCACACACTCTCCTCTCCTGTAACATTTCATGGACCCAAGCTCATGAGGTCAACACCGCTGCAGTGCCTCCGCACCCCCCACCCCAAAGCTAGGATAACTTTAGCAATTCTATTCACAAATAAACATCAAATATCTCCACAACTAAATTTCAAGGAGCACTGAGCCAAAGCCAGACCCACAAAGCTGAGGGAAATACCAAATACCTGGCACACAGGTGTGCCAGAAAGATGTTTTTTGAATTTTCAAAATATTTTTATTGATTCAAGAATTTCATACAGTGAATTTTTATCATATTCTGATCCCTTCCTCCACTCCACTGCACCTTACTATGCCTCCTCCCTTGACTTTACGCCCTCTATTATTATTTGTCTTTTTTGAGTCTAATCTGTGTTTTGCAGGTGCCCTTAAGTGTGGGCCTATCCCTTGGAGTCTAGTCAATCTACTAGGCAGCACACTGGTAAGAGAAACTGACTCTCCCTCTCCCAACAGCTATGAATTGCCAATAGATACTCAGCTAGTTCTGGGGATTCCTGCCTACCTCCCTGATCCATTCCGGGCCCCTGTCTGACTTAGGTTCACACAGGTCTTTCGCATACTGTCATAAGTGCTGTGGGTTCATAGTGCAATCATAGTGCAACAACCCTATAGTGTCCAGACAATAAAGTTTCTTGTATTCATCTACCAAAAATGAAACCTTTCCCACTATTTCACAATGGGGCTGGATAAGAATAAGGAGGTAGGACTCTCTAAACTGGGATTCAGGGCAAGTTTTGTAAACATGTTGGCCCACAACCAAGGGCTCATTTGTACATGTTTAGCTTCTTGGAAAGAAGAGGCAGAAAACAAATCTGGTTTTTAGCCTGGGTTTTTAATTAGATTTTTTTTTACAATTTTGGTTCGAAAGGTCACAGTTTGAATGTTTGGGTCCATTTTACATATCAATCCACAATTAAATGGGTTTCTATGACTTTCTATGCCCTAGCTAATATAAGCCAGGAACTCTAAGGAAGCAGGACCTTTCTGGGCCATTGACCTTGATCATGCTCATCCCTCTTTGGGTCCTTGAGAGTTTAAGTTGAATTCCTGAGGACAGTTGATGTCTTTGGTTAACCTCAGAACTTGCTAACAATCAAATTCTGCATAATAAATATCTTTGAATTTTAATCTCTGGATAACACCAGTCCTTGAGGTGGAGGCTACCAGGAGTTCCTGGAGATGCCTACAGTGTTGCTGCAATTCAATGACCCTGAGTTATAAGAACATCAACCTCCCCACGGAGACCCCTAGGATTTGGCTGATTGACATGCCTGTTTCATGGGGACACCTGGTCTAGCCTTTGGCAGCAGGCAAATTGAAATTTCTTTTTATTTCTCACACAACATTTTCCTTCCTGAAGCAGTATTAGACCCTGATTAGAATCCCGAAACCTCAATGAAAAAAGCTTCAGTGAACTGATCCTTATTGGTTGGGGAAATGATCTAGTATGCACAGTTATTGTTTTAAAAATAAGGTTGATTCAACTATGTTTCCACATCAGTAATCTTTAAGGAACTCAGCGTTTTTGCTGAGCATTTTAGGGGAAGAGTCTCATAGGCTTTGTTGCAACAGTTAGAAGAAATAAATGCTAATCCATGTGTTCAATGGGATTCACTTACATATCCTCACCACTGTCTTCCACCAAATGGAAAATCCCCAGAGGTGTGTATTGTTTTTCACTTTATAAACGGATACAAATGAATACAATAAATTATATCATTTCCTGTGGGGAAAAAAAGAATTTTTATAAATGTTCAACATCTTCAGCCATAAGGTTAATGCTGGTGAACAATGTTTTGAGGTTTCATCTTACCCCAGTGAGAATAAGATCCGAAAACAATGACTAACGTCGGCAAGGATGTGGGGAAAGAGGAACACCCACGCACTGCTGGTGGGAGCACAAACTGGAGCCGCCATTATGGAAACCAGGGTGTAAGTTCCTCAGAAAGACTTGACCAACAAATTAACTGCAGATGGCCAAGTCCTAACACACCACACAAGAAACATGAGAAACGAAGGTAAAGTGTCCTCCCCTCAAACTACCAATCCCATAGAAATGGGCACCAATGAGGGTGACTTCGATAAAATTCCAAACAACGAATTCAAAAGAATGACTATAAATATGTTCAAGGAGGTCAAAGAGGACATCACTGATAAATGTTTGAACTAATTCAAAGGGGATACAAATAATATCTTAAATGAATTCCAAAAGAATACAAACAAACAGCTGAGTGAGATAAGAACAGTAATTCAGGATATGAAAATAAAATTCAGCGAAGAGAATCCTGAAGAAAAAACAACCTGAAACAATACTGAAAATAAAAATCCAGTAAGTCACATAAAAAGTTCCGTGGAAATCCACACCCATAGAATCATATGGAGGAGAGGATATTGGGGCTTGAGGCCAAGCTAGAGAAAATGGATCATCCAAACGAAGAAAATGATAAAATTTAAAAGCACATGCACAGAACATGCAAAGTTTTGGGGCTACCAACAAAGACTAAATCTTCAATTTATGACCGTAGAAGGAGAAGTCCATGCAAAGCCATAGAAAATATTTTCAATAAAATCATGGAAGACAATTTCTCAAATCTAGAGAAAGAAAACCTCATGCAGGTACAAGAGGCACACAGAAGACCAAATAGGCAGGACCAGAAAAGAAACTTCTCACGTCACATTACTGTAGAAACCCTGAACACACAGAACAAGGAAAGCATACTGAACACTGCAGAGAGAAGAGCTGAGTCACATACAAAGGCAGGTCCATCAGAACAATAACTGATTTCTCAGTGGAAACTCTAAAAGCCAGAAGGCCATCAAAAGTTGGATTTTGCCAAGCTAGAATACTATATCCAGCAAAACTATCTCATAATTGAGACAAAAGCAAAACTTTATGAGACAAGAGCAGGCCAAAGCATTTTATGATCACCAAGGCACCCCTACAGAAGATACTGGAAGGAATGTATCAGATTGAAGAGAATAATAAAAAGGATACAAAATAACATAAAAGATGCTGAGATAGTTGATAAGTAAATGAGAAATAAGAAAACACCAAACACTACGAAATCAACAAAGCAGCAGAATTAGTACACACCTTTCAATAATCAAGGAATATCAATGGGTTCGATTCCTCTTTCAAAAGACACGGACTAGGAGATTGGATCAGAAAACAAAATTCATCTTTTTGCTGCATCCAGTCAGCACTGTGATGCATGGAGGTACATGCCTTCAATCCCAGTACTCGAGAAGCAGAGGCAGGCAGATCTGTGTGAGATCAAGAACAAAATTGTCTGTATAGTGATTTCCAGGCCAGCCTGGGCTGCATAGTCATAGTGAGACCATCTGAAAAAAAAAAAAAGAAGGAAGGAAGGAAGGAAGGAAGGTGGGAGGGAGGGAGGGAGGGAGGGAGGAGGGACGGAGGGACAGAGGGAGGGAGGGAAACAAAAGATTTCCAAATAGACAGAGATGGTAAAATTGAGCATCCACCAAGCAGCTGTCCAGGGAAGAAGTAGGTGATCTGAGAAAAACATTGCCAGTGATCTCTCTGGGAGAGTAGTGGGCTACCCGCTACTATACTGAAAACAGTGATAAACTGCAGCATCCTCAGGCTCCAGGCTGCTGATAGTAAAAGTGAAGACTGTCCCAGATCCACGCTTTTACACTTTGCTTAGTTTTTCAGTTTTAATGACTTAAATTTACCCTCAATCATCAGTCAGAGAAATGAAGTGGCATTATTGATTTTTCTGCTCCATTGTAAACAGCAGCTTGTGAGTCATCTTTCGAATGCCACTGAAGCGGCCTGCAACACCAGTGGCCCTGTTGGAAGCAACATAGATGAGGAGCTTGGGAGCCTGCCCGGGCTTCTGCTGGTACCAGGATAAGTAGTTTCCCATATTGTTGCTGGCCTTGCAGGTGACGGTGGCTTTTTCTCCAGGAGCCAAAGACAGGAAAGCTGGAATCTGTGTCATCAGAACTTGCCCAGTGGTGTCTGAAATTGAAAATAGAAAAAAAAAAAAACTCTGCCATATCCATTGTTTCCTTAATATAGCCAGCTGGGTCAATCTACAAGAAACTACTGTGCTTGCAAAGGAGAGGGTCCAGGTCACTGGACTGACCTGGAAAACTGAGAATGTTCACAGGCATGCAGAACCATCCAATGTTTCCTTACTTGGAAACCAGAGTAACAGGAGGCAGAGGACCCGAGATGGGGCTTCCATATTTGACTCTGGTTCTGACCTGAGGCAGATCTTACCCCAGATGACTGCCCTTGGCATTGATATGGGCTCTGGATGATAGTAAAGGCTGGGAGGAACATGCAAAGCAATTAGGGAGGGGCAAGCTATGCTTCCAGCTGCAGGGACATTTCACTCTCCTCTCTACACTTGAGCAACCCAGGCCCAGGTGGTAATAACAGAAAATACCTTTGGCTAAGCCTGAGTGTAGAATTTACCTTTTTTGCTCACAAAATTCAATCCTTGGATCTTATATTCCACTAAATACCTGGACTCACTCAGATGATTTTTTAATACAAATTTTATGATAACAAAATAAAGCCTATCCCCAGTGTCTTGTCATTTCCTTTGATGCATGGTTGTCTCTGGATGAAATGACTCACTCATCAGAAATGGGCCTTGGTTGCCTAGTAGTCTTTCCCAAGGTCCTTAAATTTTGTCATTGTTTATAACAATTTGTAGGGCACCATATTCAATTAGATTCAGTAGTGTGGAAACCTGGACAGGCACATCCGTGCAGATGAGCAAGACATTCATTCAATACACTGAAATCATTTCGTTGAGGTAGACAGTAGTACTTCCCATACAAACAAGGAATTCCTCATTGCATTATTCTTTGTACTAACCTATTTTGTGCACTGGATCCATCAACCAAAACCCAAGCCCTTCTCACTTTAACAGTCTTAGAAACTTCTGTTTATACTTCTGATAAATTATCTACAAACATCGTATTTAATAATAAAATATTGAGCATTTTACCCTTCATGAAGGTGTTTATTACTTTGATTCAAACCTGTATTAGAGGTCCTAAAAGTATAACACAAGACAGAGGAATAAAATATATGATTTTGAAGGAAATAAGTTAAATATTTATGAATAATGATACAAATTCTATATGAATTCTTAGATTCTAACAAAAATATCTAGGAATAATAGTTTCACACAATCTCTGGGCTCACTGTCAACATGTACAGCTTCGTGGTTTAAAGAATACTTAAATGAATAAGCACTTTCAACATGTTTATCCAGTGGAAAATTTGATATTTCTACAATTTAATTATTCCCCAAATTTACTTGTATACACATATCTGTGTGGGTAGTGCAATCCATCAAAATTTCTAAAATATTTATTGAAATCAATGAGCTGTGTGGACATAGAAATTTAAAGGAGCTTGAATCATGTGATTACATGATCCCTCAGTTGCATATCCAGAAGTGGGGTAACGGGTTCATACCACAGCTCTGTTTTTAATTTTTTGAGAAACAGTCATACTGATTTCCATAGTGGCTCCACCAGTTTCCATTCTCACCAGCAGTGAACAAGTGAATAAATATTCCTTTATTCCCACATGCTAGCAACATCTGTTGTCATTTGTTTTCTTGATAATACCCATTTTGGTTGCAATGAGATGAAATCTCAAAGCAATTTCTTTTTGTTTTTATTCTTTGTTTTTTATAATATATTTTTATTGAATTTTGTGCATTTCATACAACACATTTTAAAAATATTTTATTTATTATTTTTATTTTATGTGTATGAGTGTATTGTCTGCATGTATGTGAGTGCACCCGTGTCATGCAATGCCACGGAGGTCAGAAGAGGGCGTTGGATTCCCCTGGAACTGGAGTTAAGGACAGTGCGTAGCCGCCATGTGGGTGCTGGGAATCGAATCTGGGTCCTCTGCAAGAGCAGTCAGTGCTCTTAACTGCTGAGCCATCTCTTCAGCCCCCATACAACACATATTAATAATATTTAGTCCCTGTCCCCACCACAAAGCCTCCTCACCAGATTTTATGTATTCTATCATATATGTTAAGCCCTATCAAGTCAAATTTGTGTCTCTAGATATCCCTTGATGTGCGTTCATCCACTGGAGTCAGCCTATCTAGTGTCACTCCCTTACAGAAGACCAACCCTCCTTCACCTAGCAGTGATCAGTTGCCAATAGTCAGCTAAGGTTAGAGCTTCTTATCCGTTTCACCAGTTCTACACTGGGTTTCTGTCTGGTTTGAGTATGCATGGGCATGGGTGTTGTGCATATTGTCACTGTTGAGTATGCATGGGCATGGGTGTTGTGCATATTGTCACTGTTGTTGTAAGTTCCTATGAGCAAGTTCCCAGCTACCTGGAAAACTGTTTCCCCGTGGTTATCCACCAATCCTAGCTCTTATGTCTTTCCACCCTCTCTTCCACAATGGTCCTTGAGCTGTGGGTTGCAGAGGTTTAACATAGGAGTCCTATCCAGGGACACACACTCTGCAGTCTCTCATTCTCTACATTATGGCCAGTTGTGGCTTTCTGTGTTAAACCACCTTCTGTTGTATGAGGAAGCTTTGCTGGTGAGAGTTGAGAGATACATTAATATTCTCTCTACCTCCTGTTCCAATGTGTTCTGTAGGCCTTAGGTGCAAGGTTACACTGATATGTCACTGAGGACTGGGCATCTCAGAGACACTTATTCTCTGTGTTTGACCAGTTGTAGAACTCTGTGATAGTCTCCATCTGTTGCAAAAAGAAGCTTCTTTGATGAGTGGTGAGAGATACACTTGTCTGTAAATATAAGGATACATATTTAGCATACGGTGAGAAAGTACATTTGTCTAGGAATGTGATAGATGTACATTTTCCTCTAAGATCTATGACCCCTCCAACTATATGTATTTGGCTATATTTACAGTACCACACATGAGTTCCCTCCCATTGAGCAGGTTTTAAGTCCAATTAGATAGCTGTTGATAGGCCTCAAGATTAAAGTGCCACCACTGCACCAATAGAGATAGTTTGATGTGCTAGTCATTGTTGTGGTTATTAGGCTTTACAGCTGAAATTGAACCATTGATTGATTTTCCCCCTTAGCAGCTTGCATGATACCTCTTACACTACGAGAGCTAGTCTTCAGGAGCTAAAACGGTACATTAAAATACTGTGTGTGTGGGGGGGGGGTTCTCCATAATCCAATGGGCAAGATATATTTTTAATTAATTTATTTATTAAGTTTGGATTTTTTGAGACAGGGTCTCACTACGTAGACTAGGTTGGCCTCAAACTCACAGAAATCATCCTGCTTCTGCCTCCCAAGTGCTGAGACTAAAGGCATACACCACCATGACCAGTTAGCAAAATAATTTAGTAATATGTAGTTTAAGGACAATAGGAACCAGGAAACCCAAAAGGAAAACACATGTGGGTGCTTGTCTCTGGAGCTCCTACCTGTCACTTTACTGTGATATTGCTGTGTCCCTTTGTCAGTGTCAGTTTAGGGATGAGGCTGGGTTCATTTTTTTCATCCATTTAAATCTCAGACATAGTAGAGACTTTATTTTAAAAGAATGAAGAATTGCACAGCCATACATACACTCACACAAAGAAATAAAGCTCTACACAAGTGTAGAGGGGAATTCAGAAACTAAAAATCCAACAATCTCCCGCCCCAGAAGGGCCTGGGTTTTAAAGGTCTTAGTGGGTCACCCCCTTATTGTGAGTTGGTCAGCTTAAACAAAGAAGACTGACAGATTTATAGTTTCAAATAATGTGGTGTCCAGGTCTGCCCCCAGCCTTACCTGACCTGGTTTGAACTACTTGACTGGACAGAAAACCTGGCTGGACAGAGGTGGCCTTTATCAGATCAAAAAGAAAACAGAACTATGTCAACTTTCTTATTCCTCAGTGGCTGTGTTTGCTTCTGAGGAATTTAGACCTTTATATCTTTCTCTCTGGCCCTGGTTTTTTTTTTTTTTTGAGTATTTTTGTTTGTTTTTTGGTCTTTTTGAGGGAGGGTCTCCATGTAGCCACAGCTGCCGTGGAACTGCTTATGTAAACCAGGCTGACCTCAGTCTCACAGAGATCCGCCTGCCTCTGCCTCCCCAGGGCTGGGATTAAAGGCATGTGCCACCAATCCCAACCTTTTGTTCTGTTTTGGGGCTCAGTTGTCCTAAGCTCCTGGAAGCCAGAGAGGAGCCATATGAGAAACCTGTGATGCTTACTAGGCTATCTACTGTTCAGGCAGTAAGAAACATTGAATGTTGGCCTTTTCTTTCAAACCCTGCAAAACGATTTATGACAAGGAATTCTAATCTTTTTATCCCACCCAAACCATGTAAGACTTTTCTTTAAGGTAAGGCCCTGATGCATTCCCAAACCTGATACCCTGGGGCACTGAAGCTTCGTTCCCTTCCTTTATGCCCAGTCTTTATTTTAAAAACTTTTTTAATTTTTATTATTTTTATTTTATGTGTATACATGTATTGCCTGCATGTAGGTAAGTACACCTGTGTCAAACAATGGCTGCAGAGGTCAGAAGAGGCTGTTGGATCCCCTGGGAATGGAGTTAAGGACAGTTGTTAGCTGCCATGTGGGTGCTGGGAATCAAACCTGGGTCTTCTGCAAGAACAACCACTGTTCTTAACCACTGAGCCATCTCTTCAGCCCCTATGCCCATTCTTTTAAAACTAGCTGTGACTCGAAGTTCCTCTGATAAGCCATAGTTCCACCTCCTTCCCATGCTCTGTGGAAGGAGTCAAAGGGGCAGGACTATGGAGGTTAAACTAGAAAAACCACAAGGCCGCTTTCTCACCATTTTTTTGTGGCTGTTGGGAACCCACCAGACTTATGTTTAGGTGTGGACTTTCAAGCACAGCTGTGAATGGGGTAGTCGCCATTTTTGGAACAGAGCTCCTGGAAAGGCAGGGTTGGGTAATGCCCCACCAGTCTCAGGGGCTCCTCCCTGGGTGAGATGAGGAGCACATTAGGAAAAAGGAGTGGAGCTACTGCCATATTGAGCACAGGCCAATGCAGAGCGAGAGACACCAGGGGCAGGAGATGGTGTTGGGAGCCAAAAGGCCAGAAGAAAAACATCTTTATGGTCTTGAGAAAAGACAGCCTTATGGTTTCCTGCAAATCTCTATGGCCTTGAGAAAAGACAGCTTTATGGTTTTCTGTGAGTTTCTATAAGATAGCACTTAGTTAAAGAATGTAGAAAAACAAC